GTGTTCCCCTAATTTTTTTGAGCAGGGTATATACAGTGTGTCCCCGGATAGGTGAAACGACTCTTATAAAAGGTAAATTTTTTTCGATATTAATTGTCATCTTTTGGGGTTTAGCCCTGCTTGATTAACGACTAATTTTGAACATATTATCAATTATTAAAAAACAAGTGAGCCTTGACAGTGAAAGAAAAACTCTTTTTGTGGCAGGTAAAGTACCTTTTCTGTTTACAGTACGTGAAAGTGTTACTAAGAAGTTTTGTTCAGAATGAAAAACTATGGGCATATGCAAATTTTCGGATTGATCGGCCTACTTTGAAAAAATCCATATCAAACAATTTTATTTCTAACAAAGACTGCCATGGAAAAACAAAATTGCTTTCCTGTCACTGTTAATCTCTCAAACTGTAATTTAGTAAACTTAAAGTGTTTTTTAAACAGAATGTTAACATTACAGGAAAAAGTTTACGTGATTCAGTGTTATGGAACCGGGAAAAAACCGATTATTGCTTTATTTTGTGAAAAATTTCCAAATACTGCAATTAAAAGAAGTACTTGTTGGCGTTTAATCAAAAGATTTCTTACAGCAGGAAGTATTCACTCTAAGAAAAAAANTTCCAAAAAAATAGGGGTAGTTCGCCCTTTTTAACCCTCTGCTATATGTGTGACACATCAAAAGAAAGCTCTTTTAAAATGAATATCAGTTACAATTTACCAAATTTTGATAGCACTTTTCATTTTTAAAATATAAGTGAAAACGTACTTTTTCTCCAAACTTTCAACCCCTATAACTCGCCCCAGGGGCTTTTACCGCACGTATAAAAAAATGTACGAACCTTATTTTGGCCCATTCTATGACTGTACCAAATTGCATCGAAATCGGTGAGACACAGTTGTGACACTTCCCTTGTTAGAAGTAACTAAGAGTTGTAACATTGTTTTTGCAATTTTCTTTAGTTAAATATATGCCGTTGAAGTAAATCAAATTTGATTTGTCTAGAACTATTATTTAAAAAGTTTCCGATTTCGAAAAGTGTTCCCCTAATTTTTTTGAGCAGGGTATATAGATATATAATAAATATATGTATAGTATATATAAATATATCTCTGTGTGGGTGGGACATAGAGATATTTAGTTTTTAATACATAATGTATAATACAAATAGTGTATTTTTGTTTGCTGATGGAATAGTTGGATTATTCATTTGTTGATTTATTATTTTTCTTGTCAGGTCTGCATTTCGCTGTTTTTTTAAGAAGATATTATTAAAAACATTTTTTCTACTTTTAACGTAAAACACATCTAGGACAACTTGAATCAGCAAAGTTTGAGTAATTTTAGATTATTCTATGTGTATTAATTCTTATTGTATATTTTAAAACCGCTGACGCAAGAATTACTGGCTGAAACTTCCAAAAACTTTAATTTTCAAAGAGTAAAGTGTCCTTTATAGAGTTGTTCTACTGAAAATAATAACTGTTCCAGATTGCTTTAGGTATAATAAGTATATATTTATAATATGGAATTGAAAATAGAAAAACTGTGGTCACAGCAATCAACTAGACATTTTGGAAGCCAAACCTATTTTTAGTTATAACTTCGTAATGATTTATCCCATAATTTTGATTTGCTAGAACAATAACTAGAACAACCCAGAACAACTAAGAAAATCTGATTTTTTAAAAAATGGGGGGCAAGTCAAAAAAACCGTTTTTTAGGTTTTTCTCGCCAAGTTTTTACAACTTTGCGATTTTTTTTCTCGAAAAGTATCGCACGAAAAAAATTTAATTTTGAGCAGGTGGTAGCCTGATGTGTTCTTAATGTGTGGCATATTTTATTTTTTCGATATTCCATACAGCTTCGCGGAAAATCGAAGTTTAGTAAGACGCCGTTATGTCGAAAACGGCTGGGTGGATTTCCTCGCGGATTTGACCAAAATATGTCAAATAATGTCGGATGTCGGATTGCGTTATCAGTTTTTCAAAATTAGAGCTCCCTAATTTTTTAAGAGCGATTTATAGCTTATTTCTGTTTCTCTTTCATTTATCGTTTGTAATTCCATTAAATCGCTCTTAAAAAACTAGGAAGCATTAGTTTTGAAAAACTGATAACGGAATCCGACAACCGACATTATTTGACATATTTTGGTAAAAACCGCGTTGAAATCCTCCAGGTCGTTTTCGAAATAACCGCTTCTTACTAAACCGCGATTTTCCGCGAAACTATATGAAATATCGCAAAAATAAAATATGCCCCACATTAAGAACAACTAGAACAACCCAGAACAACTAAGGTTTTTCTCGCCGAGTTTTTATTTTTTCTATTTGCCGATTTGGAACAATGTAGAACAACTCTAGAACAATCTAGAACAACAATGAAAAATTTTAAAAATCAAAAAACCTGAATGTTTCTAGTTCTAGCTTTAGTTTTTAGTTCTACTCTTAGTTCAATAAAAATATACATCAATCTCTCGCTGAATAACAATTAAAACTTTAATTACCGTCATTACATACATCGTATAGACAACTCGGGGAATACCCCGAGTTTTTCTATAAACATGGAATAGAACAACTTGAGAAATAACCCAAGTTGGATTCTATCTATGAGCGCTAATATTCATATTTAAATATACTGATGTATTGATCCTACCGATGGCGGTGTGCACTCCAACCCTGAAGAGATTGTCAACATACACGCTGACTACCTAGAAGGTGTATTCACCTTTCCCGAGGATGTTTCGTTTTGTTCCCACAACAAAAGCATTATAGATAATTGGTACGAATCCGCATTTTTGACACCGTTCGAGACACCCGAAGATGCTCTCATGTTGGAAGACGAATATTTTACTCTTCTTGGACAGGGAAAAGATACCGCTCCCGGTTATGATAACATCACAAGGAAACTGCTTAGAAGTCTAGATCTTAACATCCATGGCTTTATCAGAAAAATAATTAACTTTTGCCTTACGACTCAGCATTTCCCGCGCGACTGGAAGACGTCTATTATAACTTGTATTCCCAAGAAGGATTCTTCTCTATCTGATCCAGCCAACTATCGCCCCATCTCACTGCTCCCCGTAATTGGAAAACTCTTCGAGACGCACTTGAAGAACAAGCTCCTGGCTGCGGTATCAAAGAAAATTCCGCCTTACCAATTTGGCTTCCAATCCGGCAAATCAACGTCCCAGCCACTAACTATTCTGGTTTCCAACTTCCAGGCGGCACGTTTTGTAAAACTGAAATCTGCAGCAGTGTTTCTGGACGTCCGAAAGGCCTTTGACTCCGTGTGGCACAAAGGATTGCTATTTAAACTGGATAAGCTAAAAACGCCATACTACCTTCTAACCCTGATAAACCAATTCCTGTCGAATCGCTCCTCCATCGTGAAGTTGAAAAATCACTTCTCCCACAGCTTCTCCGCTCAGCAAGGCCTTCCTCAGGGTTCGCCTATCTCTCCCTCTCTATACAATCTTTTCTGCCACGATCTTTACAACGACAACCCAGACGCCTTTAACCTCACTGCATACGCACTACTTTATGCCGACGACACAGCATTGGTCTCGCACAGTAGGGATATCACTTCCTCGGTCCGTAAGCTGCAGACGCTCATAAACGAAACGGAAAATTGGTACCGAAAATGGCGCATCCTACTCAATCCCACAAAAACACAATTTTTTGTCCCATTCCTCTCACCCCGCGCTCCCTCTCCCACAATTACAATCCAATCAACGGCAATCTCCGTCTCACCAACCTGCAAGTATCTTGGCATAATACTTGACAGAACGCTTAAGTTTTCCACTCATGCAACCAAGGTGAAGATGAAAGTAAAGACACGCGCCAAACACTTTAAATCTCTCTCGTTCAGCGGTCGCGGAATCTCTACCTCATGTGCCTCGCACATCTACAAGACCATATGCAGGCCCATCATAGAATATGGATCAATACTGCTAAGCAACGCACCAAGAAGAACGAAGTACCACCTGGAAGTAGCGGAAAGATCTGCACTGAGATCCATCACCCGAATTAGGAACCCCCGTAATCCCCTCTTTAACCCTAGCAATGATCTGCTATATCAACTTACCGATATACCCCCTATCTATACCCGTCTTCAATCTTTGTCCGATAAATCCATCCTAAATTTTCCTACCAACGCCTTGCAACACACGCTTATATCGCCTCGATTACTCCACCCTCGCAACAATCCACCTCTTCTCTTCCAAAAACTCCTGGCCATCAGAGAAGACTGAAACAAGCCGCCGACTACAAAATCACGGGCAGAAAGACCTTGGTCGGTAGCCCTATTCTCACCCCTTAACTTTTTTATTTTTGTTGTATATACATATAGATATTTTTATTGTTATTCTTATTTTTTTTTATGTAGTGGGTACAGAATAAAATTTGTTTTTCTTCTTCTTCTGATGTTTTAAATAGATAATATTAATACTATGACTTACAAATATTTTGTCCGTTATATCCAAAGACCGTTCTAACTCTAACGCTATAGAATGAGGTTCGTTATATAAAGATCCGTACTATCGAGGTTTAATTGTAGTAATATTTTGACTTTTCCGTTAATAATTTTTCGTTTTTTTTTGAGTAATTTAATCATTGTGTTTGTATAGGTTTCTAAAACGAACATAAAAATAAAACAATGGAAAAATTTAATTAAATTGTCAGGTGCAGTTATTCAATTTTTGCGTTACACCCGTTATAAATTTCGTAGAAATGTTAACAATAAAATCTACACCCAAGAAACACTTTTATGTATAATTTATATATGTACAAAGCTTTTAAAAAAAAGTACTTGCCATTTATTAGCTTTACTCTTTAAGGGGTAAATTCTTTTTATGAATCTTAGTTGGAAAATTACTCATTTCCGACATGAAATTTAATCAGAAAAGAAAACGAAGTCTTTGACTTGAAAGTTTTGACGTTAATTACTTGTTGAATAAAAATATTAAAAAACATTAAGTTAAAAAGGATCTTCTTTTATGCATTTTCAGATATTACGCAGTTTTAAAACCTCTTCACTTAACTGGAATAGATCGTCGTGGACGTTACATGTTAATTGGAGCTTGGCTGGGTGCGGCAATTTGTAGTATGCCCCAGGTAAGAAATAACCCCGCATCTTCTATATTTATCTATTATAATACAAGTCTCGAAACAAATAACCTTTCAAACAACAAGCGATAAAACTTTCGCTTAATATAAATGAACTTACTTAATCGTCCAGACTCTCTAAAATTTATTGCGGACCATTTCTCTGTAACAAATCTTAAATTTAACTTTCTCATCCCGAAATTTACGTGTTTTAGTTTTCAACATTATTGTTTTATTCGTTTTGCTTTTGGTGTAATTTTCTATATTTATTAAAACGTTAAATTCGCGCTTAGAATATATATTAACCTTATCTGTAGTTGTAAATTTTCGAGTTTCGCATCTGTGTTCAATTTAAAGTTTTCCACACAGCGAGAATGTAAATTACAGATGAAACAACAATTTTCTATCTCTCTTCAGCATCTTGTATGTTAATTAATTAAGTTGTTACAAAAACTTTACTTTAAAGTTATGGTAATTAAAGAACGAACGTTATTAGTATGTAAATTATTTTGGAATAAATGTTTAAAATAAATATCGGATTAATGTTTGTGTGAAATGGGATTATTATTTAGACGAAAACGACGTTGGCTGAGTAAGATAAATTGTAAGGTATTAACAAAACTGGACCCACGTCACCAAACTTGTCCGAAAAGTTTTAACAAGTTTAGTAGTCTCGTAACAAATTAGGGACATTTTTGGAACGAAAAGTATTTGAGTTTGATGGAGACTATTTTAACCATCTTTATACTTAATAGAAGAAAAAATAATACTCCCATAATATGATTTGAAATCAATCTTCTCGGTATGTGTTAAATATTATGCAATAATTCAAAAATAAAAAATTTCTAAATGAATTTTTATTGGAAAATTAGCTGAAAACTGTTTCAAGTTGAAGATTAAATACTGTTTGCAAAAGATACTGCTTCTAAATGACTACTTAGTACTTACAAATAACTAAATATGGAGGATAGAAGACCAGATACTGCTGGTAGATTATTAGATACTGATAATACAAGACTCTTCTGCTGGCAGAAGATTACATACTGCTTATAGAAGATTACATATTTCTGCTAAAAGACTAAATACTGCTGGTAGGAGACTAATTACTAGGTACAGAAAACCTTATAGTGCTTACAGCAGACCAGTTACTGTGGCGGAAAACGAGACACTGTAAATAGAAGATTACATAGAAGACTTTACACTGCTGGCATAACAATGGCATCATAACCATCTGTGAGTCTTAGCCTGTTAAAATACTGTTGGCATAATAAAACGGGTAGGAAACCCGATACTGAAATTTCCCAAAGTGTTAATAACAGTGTCTTCTTTCCAATGAACCAACACGTTTTGAAAAATAACTCTTAGTTTTTGAGAAAACAATATTTGAAGTTTTGATAAAATTTTCCATATTGCAATTTTCATCGATAATTTTCAAAATTCGCAATAAAATTAATTTGTTGAAGGATTCTAGTGGAAATATCACCAATTATTAATTAAAGTATCCTCTTTTTAATGCAACAAGCCGTTTTGAAAAATCGCTTTTAGTTCTTGAGAAATAAATTTTTGAAATGATTGACAATTTTTTCAATTTTTGCAATTTTCGCCGATTAAGTTTTAAAAATTCGTATAAAATCCATTTCTTGGAATACGAGTTTGAAAATTTCCCAAAGTGTTAATAAGAGTGTCCTCTTTCCAATAAACTAATACGTTTTGAAAAATAACTTTTAGTTTTTGAGAAAACAATATTTGAAGTTTTGATACAATTTTCGATGTTGCAATGTTCATCGATAATTTTCAAAATTCGCTATATAATTAATTTTTTGAAGGATCTTTGTGAAAATATCACCAATTATTAATAAAATTAAAGTATCCTCTTTTTAATGCAACAAGCTGTTTTGAAAAATCGCTTTTAGTTCTTGAGAAATAAATTTTTTAAATAATCGACAATTTTTTCGAATTTTGCAACTTTCGCCGATTAAGTTTTAAAAATTCGTATAAAATCCATTTCTTAGAATATGAGTTTGAAAATTTCCCAAAGTGTTAATAAGAGTGTCCTCTTTCCAATGAACCAACCCGTTTTGAAAAATAACTTTTAGTTTTTGAGATAACAATATTTGAAGTTTTGATAAAATTTT